TTTCAGCACTTTCAACAAGCACCGTACATTCCGATTCTTCTTAAACGGTGGGTCCACCGCGGGTCCCCGGGCTACTATTACTAGCACCACCACCACCACCGCCGCCACCACCACCACCACCACCGCCACCAAATAAGACCGTGATTTGCTTACTTCGGATATCGTTTGCAGCTTCAGTCCTTATCGACAGCTTCACCCAGCCCCGGTGACATTCAACAGACCCAGGAAGTACGAGCAACTAATCCTGTTTACATTGTTATTGTGGCGGATGGTTCTGACCATTGTGCTGTATTCGAATCTGCATCGTGGCCATACGCAGGAGGTGGATAGCACCGCATCGCACTTGAAATTTCGATTCTACACCCCAGGTTCCAGATTGCAACCCACATGCTAAATGCTGTCAGCAACTTAAGCTTTTCACAACTCCAAACCCGCAAATCTCAAGAACCCCAAAACGGTGCGCTAGCTCGGTGTGTGGGTCCTGCTTGCTCGCAAAACAGCGAAAAATAGATTTAACTTCATGCAATGCTAACTGAAAGCAAAAGCATCAGATTCGCGAAGACTTCAAGGCTGCACGGTCGCCAATGCTATTGGCTCATGAAAGCTTTATACAAGCTTATAAGCTCTAAGGCCAAAGCCCCATCCTTTGTGCATTACCCCCATGTGCTTCCAGGAGCCCAGCAACTCAAGGACTTTCGAAAGCGGCAGATGGAGCCAGATGTCGTGTCCTTCAACACAGCGGCTGCTGCTTGACAAAGACGGGACTTCATGCTTGGTACACCGTTCGGATTTGGGAGTAACCTGCCTAGTTAGCATCAGAAACTTCAATGGTACGTTGCTTCAGTGTACTCATGAAAGCACAAGACGAATCCGAGACGTCGCCTTGCTCGTCCCATGCCTTTGTGAAATATTCTGTTTGGAGGTTTCAGATTGTATTCCGAGGGTTCGATTCCTGAAGGCTACATGCAGTTCTGCACAGGTGCGATGAAAAGGTTCCCGCAGTGCTGAAGCTTTCTCTGGCAACTGCGAGCAGTCCTGAGCTCTCAGCCGCAAGCCCTTATCGCCATAGGCCCGGCCAATCACATCCAAAAATCCCTCACCCGAGGCCCTGAGTGACCAAACTAAACCTTGGATGGCACGCATTGGTGGCAAAGCTCAGGATGCGACAAAGCTCGCAGATTGGGTCGCCTCCATGAGTATTCTTCAAAAACTTCAGGCCCACTTCTTGTTTTGAGGGCATCGGGTCCAGGATGCCGGCCGGGTTCAGGGCTACAGGGCTGCAGGTCAAAAGAGCTTCATCCGCCCAGAACCCAAGACCCTAATCCATGAGTGGAATATCAACCTGGAGACAGATGTAGATGTACAGAGTTACAAGAAATGGATAAAAAAAGCCGGTTTTGCCTGTGTCATCCCGTGTATGCATGTGTGATCATGTGTGTACGTTTGTAGGAAGGTGGGACGTATGTATGAATGCATGCATGCATGTATGCGGTTTGTGTTGTGTGCGTTGTGTACATTCTGTATATCATGCCAGCGTGTATATGCATGCATGTTTGCATATGTGCATACATGTGTGCATGTGTGCATGTATGTATGTATGTATGTATGTATGTATGTATGTACGTATGCATGTACGGATCAAAGGCTGCCTGCAGGATGAATGCATGGATGGATGGGCGGATGAGTGGAACTGTGCATGCATGCGCGTGTGCGTGTGTGTGTGTGTCATATGTTTGGTTACTCTTTTTGCAAACTGATACGGGTGTGGGTGTGTGTGTGTGTGTGTACATGTGTGCATGTCTGTACATCTATACTTAAACTGGTCTTGATGTTTGTATTCATAGTGTATTGTGTTTTTGTCTGGCGGGTGGCACATTCTGTTTTCTTTGTGTTTATATGTGTATTTATGCTTGTATGTGTGTGTGTGTGTGAGTATGTGTCTGTGTATATATATATATATACAATATATATATATATATATACATATATATATATATATACATATACATGTGTGTGTGCGTAGTTGTATCGCACAGACAGTTATTTTACGCACGAGCATGTATTGTTGTGTGCTAATGGCTGCTAGTGCTCCCCACGGTAAGCATAAGTAAGCCCTCACGCCCCTGTCTCTGTGTGCTGTCTATCCATACCCGAACACTCGACACCTGAGCTAGAGTCGCCAAAGCCTGAAGCCCTAAAACCCACGAAGCCTTGAAAGCGCAGGAAAAGTCCAGAGCGGCATATGACTCGTGTTTCACGACCGTGGGAAATGCTAGCAAAAGGGTCCAGATATCAAGCTGTGGGCAAGGAGTGTTTTATTCTGTGTGCAAACATTGAGAGAAAGACACAAGCTTAGCAAGAACGAAAAATGTATGTGGGCCGAAATGGAGCTTCGCACACTTCGCTCTTAGTGCTGCAGCTCCGTATATGCACTAGCTTCTGGTTGCTTCTTGTGATCTCTCTCGTTCCTTGGCCTACCTCGCTCTCGCGCTCTCTCTCTCTCTCTCTCTCTTGCTCTCTTTTTGTCGCCTTCTGTCGCTCTCCCTCACCCCGCCTCTCTCGTGGTCTCTTTGAGAGCTGTCTCGCTCGCTCTCTTTTCCTCTTTTTTGGTTCCTTCATCTTGCTCTCTGTGCTTTTGTGTTTTTCTCCCTCCCTCCGCTCACTCAGTCGTTCGCTCTTCCGCCCTGCATATGCAAAAGAAGTTTTATGTTAGAAGTAGCACGGGAAGTAATATCAGTTCTGAAGCCCGTTGGAAGGACCTGGGCCTGGAGCTTGACCAGGTGGGACGAAGAGCATTACAGCACTTTCGGACGGTATCGCGAACGGTGCTAATCATCATCGCCGGCACTGCATGATTAAAGGCTTTTCGTGGCGTGACATGTTCTCAGCGTTTCTGACCAAGAGCCCATGATGGCAAAATATGGTGAACCTAGCATTAAATGACTCTTTGCATATTGCCCATATGACTGCAGCGCAAAGGGTTTTGGGCCGGAACGGAACATGGGATCCTGGTTTCGTCAACCAGCCAGGTGTCCCTGAACACCATGTCGCCAGGCTGCACAATGGTTTAGGGGTTGAGTGTGGCTTCGAAGGCTTCGACAGAACCTCGGTGCTTATTGTGGGTGGGGATGCAAACTGCGCAAAAGCATTCATAGTCACATGAGCGTTTGTTGTGAATACTGCGTGGCCATCAAGAGCGATGCTCCTAGAATTAATGGCAGTTCCTACAAACATTGCTGCTGATCCGATTTTTGGGACCGGATCCTGGAAGCTTCGGCGTGAGCCCCTGTCCGCCTTCGCGAATATACTGAAAGCCTTGGCAGCTGAGCCTTGCGTGCTTGCATCCCCACCAGCACGTGGCGCCATTGATGAACCAGATTCTGCTTGCAAGAAGGAACATTGTGCACACCAGCATGGCATGTAAGGCCTCGGGTGTACGCTTGTAGAGTGCCTGTATAGGCGAGCTGAGAAAGCTGAAGAGTTGTGCAGTGTCTGTGTGTGTGTGTGTGCGCGCACAGGTGCGTGCGTGTGGGTGTGTGGGTGGGTGGGTGTGCTTGTGCGTGCGTGCGTAAACCCACGCACAGCCCGAAATCCTAGACCTTAGCACTTCTAAATGCCGAAAACTAAACTCCGAAACCCCAGCCCTAGCACCCCTAAGCCCTAAACTTTAGAAACCCCCAGAACCCTAAGCGCAAAATCCTAATCCAACTCGCACCCACTCACGCAAAAGGAGAAAAGAAGCAAACTTTACCCCTAAATCCTTAGCCATCCCGAAGCCCCAAAACCCTAAACCCCTAAACCCTTAACCCCTAAACCCGAACCCCGCAACCGCACAAGACGCACGAGACGAGCCCTGATTCCTCAGACCCCAACATTGAGTCTTAAAGACACCTTTGAACCGATCACTATCGGCAAAATTCGGTTCCAGAGAAAGGCTGGCCAGCTGCACAACTTGGAGCCTGAGCCTTGACATTTTACGTGGAGCCTCGTCGCAGCATGGTCCAATGCTTACCTAGACCTACACCGTAAATTGCGGTTCTTCGTTTCTGGATGACCTAATTGACCTAAATCTAGCGTTGGGATGAAAGGGGTAAGTTGCCGAGTAAGTGGAGTGTAATCTTTCGAGGGGTATGGGTTTCGTGTGGAGGGATTGGAGTTTGAGTTGAGGTGTGGTATATGGTGTTGTTCTCGTGAGCTCGGGTTCAGTGACACCTTAAGTGGCTCCGGTCTTGGTCTTGAGATGTTCGCTGGATTGTTTGAGATGGAACTGTGTGGGAGTCGATGGTCTAAGGACTCACACGGCTCACAGGGTTGCATCATTCGCCACCGATTTTGTTGTAAGATTTGGTATGAGTATGCAGCAGTGAGGAACTACAGCCGGTTGTGGGCTGTTTATACCGCTAGTGTAAGGCAAGAAGGGAGGCGTTGCTTGCCTTTGAGGCCGGATTTCCCTCAAAAGGTCTTAGTCTTTCTGCTAAGTTTAGAGTTTTTGCTGTATCCGGGAACCTGCTCAGGTTCTGCGTTCATGGGTATCAGCGTAGTCGCAGATGCGCAAACACCATACCATGAAGCCCAAACCTCCCAAGACTCCCGGCTAGTACCCTCAAGTTATGGCTTTCATCCTTGCAGCAGCCTCACCGGAAATCCGACCACCCGAAAGGCGCTTGGCAAGAAGCCCTTCCCATCGACGTGGTCTCCTGTGCCTCGTGCATAGCTGCCGCAGGGCCGCAAAGAATCAGATGGGTTTCCTAGTGGTTAGGATTGCGGGGTGCTGAGGGGGAGTTGGAAATACGGCTCAGCAGCATCTGATTTGTTTCGCGATGCTGTGTTTGACGACCCTTCGCGGTAAACTAGAGGCTTTTGCTTTAGCTCCCGTGTCGTTGGAGCTAGAGTTGTTCCGCTGAGCTGGTCTCGCAAGGCCTCGTAAATGTTAGAGGGTCATTGAGTATACCCAGCTACCGCACTCCAACCAGCATACACCCAGAATTCACAGCAGCAGTATGCATGTACATACCTGCTCGGTGTCCAGGCACATGTGTACGTAGGTATGGATGTATTTATGTATGTGTGTGTGTGT